TTTTCAGAAAGTCAAAAAAAATATTTATAAGTACCAAGTACCTAATATTTTGAATTTTTAATTCTAAGTCCGATCATAAAAATCGACATATATCATCAGGTACCAATAAATATACGACTTGGAATTCATTGAAAAAATGTGAAAACGTAGGGTCTTCATAAGTGTCACTTAGACCTTTTCAGAAAGTCAAAAAAAATATTTATAAGTACCAAGTACCTCATATTTTGAATTTTTAATTCTAAGTCCGATCATAAAAATCGACATATATCGTCAGGTACCAATAAATATACGTCTTGGAATTCATTGAAAAAAATGTGAAAACGTAGGGTCTTCATAAGTGTCACTGAGACCTTTTCAGAAAGTCAAAAAAAATATTTATAAGTACCAAGTACCTCATATTTTGAATTTTTAATTCTAAGTCCGATCATAAAAATCGACATATATCGTCAGGTACCAATAAATATACGTCTTGGAATTCATTGAAAAAAATGTGAAAACGTAGGGTCTTCATAAGTGTCACTGAGACCTTTTCAGAAAGTCAAAAAAAATATTTATAAGTACCAAGTACCTCATATTTTGAATTTTTAATTCTAAGTCCGATCATAAAAATCGACATATATCGTCAGGTACCAATAAATATACGACTTGGAATTCATTGAAAAAAATGTGAAAACGTAGGGTCTTCATAAGTGTCACTGAGACCTTTTCAGAAAGTCAAAAAAAATATTTATAAGTACCAAGTACCTCATATTTTGAATTTTTAATTCTAAGTCCGATCATAAAAATCGACATATATCGTCAGGTACCAATAAATATACGACTTGGAATTCATTGAAAAAAATGTGAAAACGTAGGGTCTTCATGTGTGTCACTGAGACCTTTTCAGAAAGTCAAAAAAAATATTTATAAGTACCAAGTACCTAATATTTTGAATTTTTAATTCTAAGTCCGATCATAAAAATCGACATATATCATCAGGTACCAATAATTATACGACTTGGAATTCATTGAAAAAATGTGAAAACGTAGGGTCTTCATAAGTGTCACTTAGACCTTTTCAGAAAGTCAAAAAAAATATTTATAAGTACCAAGTACCTCATATTTTGAATTTTTAATTCTAAGTCCGATCATAAAAATCGACATATATCGTCAGGTACCAATAAATATACGACTTGGAATTCATTGAAAAAATGTGAAAACGTAGGGTCTTCATAAGTGTCACTTAGACCTTTTCAGAAAGTCAAAAAAAATATTTATAAGTACCAAGTACCTCATATTTTGAATTTTTAATTCTAAGTCCGATCATAAAAATCGACATATATCGTCAGGTACCAATAAATATACGTCTTGGAATTCATTGAAAAAAATGTGAAAACGTAGGGTCTTCATAAGTGTCACTGAGACCTTTTCAGAAAGTCAAAAAAAATATTTATAAGTACCAAGTACCTCATATTTTGAATTTTTAATTCTAAGTCCGATCATAAAAATCAACATATATCGTCAGGTACCAAAAAATATACGACTTGGAATTCATTGAAAAAAATGTGAAAACGTAGGGTCTTCATGTGTGTCACTGAGACCTTTTCAGAAAGTCAAAAAAAAATTTATAAGTACCAAGTACCTCATATTTTGAATTTTTAATTCTAAGTCCGATCATAAAAATCGACATATATCGTCAGGTACCAATAAATATACGTCTTGGAATTCATTGAAAAAAATGTGAAAACGTAGGGTCTTCATAAGTGTCACTGAGACCTTTTCAGAAAGTCAAAAAAAATATTTATTAGTACCAAGTACCTCATATTTTGAATTTTTAATTCTAAGTCCGATCATAAAAATCGACATATATCGTCAGGTACCAATAAATATACGACTTGGAATTAAAAAAAAAATGTGAAAACGTAGGGTCTTCATAAATGTCACTGAGACCTTTTCAGAAAGTCAAAAAAAATATTTATAAGTACCAAGTACCTCATATTTTGAATTTTTAATTTTAAGTCCGATCATAAAAATCAACATATATCGTCAGGTACCAATAAATATACGACTTGGAATTCATTGAAAAAAATGTGAAAACGTAGGGTCTTCATGTGTGTCACTGAGACCTTTTCAGAAAGTCAAAAAAAATATTTATAAGTACCAAGTACCTAATATTTTGAATTTTTAATTCTAAGTCCGATCATAAAAATCGACATATATCATCAGGTACCAATAAATATACGACTTGGAATTCATTGAAAAAATGTGAAAACGTAGGGTCTTCATAAGTGTCACTTAGACCTTTTCAGAAAGTCAAAAAAAATATTTATAAGTACCAAGTACCTCATATTTTGAATTTTTAATTCTAAGTCCGATCATAAAAATCGACATATATCGTCAGGTACCAATAAATATACGACTTGGAATTCATTGAAAAAATGTGAAAACGTAGGGTCTTCATAAGTGTCACTTAGACCTTTTCAGAAAGTCAAAAAAAATATTTATAAGTACCAAGTACCTCATATTTTGAATTTTTAATTCTAAGTCCGATCATAAAAATCGACATATATCGTCAGGTACCAATAAATATACGTCTTGGAATTCATTGAAAAAAATGTGAAAACGTAGGGTCTTCATAAGTGTCACTGAGACCTTTTCAGAAAGTCAAAAAAAATATTTATAAGTACCAAGTACCTCATATTTTGAATTTTTAATTCTAAGTCCGATCATAAAAATCAACATATATCGTCAGGTACCAAAAAATATACGACTTGGAATTCATTGAAAAAAATGTGAAAACGTAGGGTCTTCATGTGTGTCACTGAGACCTTTTCAGAAAGTCAAAAAAAAATTTATAAGTACCAAGTACCTCATATTTTGAATTTTTAATTCTAAGTCCGATCATAAAAATCGACATATATCGTCAGGTACCAATAAATATACGTCTTGGAATTCATTGAAAAAAATGTGAAAACGTAGGGTCTTCATAAGTGTCACTGAGACCTTTTCAGAAAGTCAAAAAAAATATTTATTAGTACCAAGTACCTCATATTTTGAATTTTTAATTCTAAGTCCGATCATAAAAATCGACATATATCGTCAGGTACCAATAAATATACGACTTGGAATTAAAAAAAAAATGTGAAAACGTAGGGTCTTCATAAATGTCACTGAGACCTTTTCAGAAAGTCAAAAAAAATATTTATAAGTACCAAGTACCTCATATTTTGAATTTTTAATTTTAAGTCCGATCATAAAAATCAACATATATCGTCAGGTACCAATAAATATACGACTTGGAATTCATTGAAAAAAATGTGAAAACGTAGGGTCTTCATGTGTGTCACTGAGACCTTTTCAGAAAGTCAAAAAAAATATTTATAAGTACCAAGTACCTAATATTTTGAATTTTTAATTCTAAGTCCGATCATAAAAATCGACATATATCATCAGGTACCAATAAATATACGACTTGGAATTCATTGAAAAAATGTGAAAACGTAGGGTCTTCATAAGTGTCACTTAGACCTTTTCAGAAAGTCAAAAAAAATATTTATAAGTACCAAGTACCTCATATTTTGAATTTTTAATTCTAAGTCCGATCATAAAAATCGACATATATCGTCAGGTACCAATAAATATACGTCTTGGAATTCATTGAAAAAAATGTGAAAACGTAGGGTCTTCATAAGTGTCACTGAGACCTTTTCAGAAAGTCAAAAAAAATATTTATAAGTACCAAGTACCTCATATTTTGAATTTTTAATTCTAAGTCCGATCATAAAAATCGACATATATCGTCAGGTACCAATAAATATACGTCTTGGAATTCATTGAAAAAAATGTGAAAACGTAGGGTCTTCATAAGTGTCACTGAGACCTTTTCAGAAAGTCAAAAAAAATATTTATAAGTACCAAGTACCTCATATTTTGAATTTTTAATTCTAAGTCCGATCATAAAAATCGACATATATCGTCAGGTACCAATAAATATACGACTTGGAATTCATTGAAAAAAATGTGAAAACGTAGGGTCTTCATAAGTGTCACTGAGACCTTTTCAGAAAGTCAAAAAAAATATTTATAAGTACCAAGTACCTCATATTTTGAATTTTTAATTCTAAGTCCGATCATAAAAATCGACATATATCGTCAGGTACCAATAAATATACGACTTGGAATTCATTGAAAAAAATGTGAAAACGTAGGGTCTTCATGTGTGTCACTGAGACCTTTTCAGAAAGTCAGAAAAAATATTTATAAGTACCAAGTACCTCATATTTTGAATTTTTAATTCTAAGTCCGATCATAAAAATCGACATATATCGTCAGGTACCAATAAATATACGACTTGGAATTAAAAAAAAAATGTGAAAACGTAGGGTCTTCATAAGTGTCACTGAGACCTTTTCAGAAAGTCAAAAAAAATATTTATAAGTACCAAGTACCTCATATTTTGAATTTTTAATTCTAAGTCCGATCATAAAAATCGACATATATCGTCAGGTACCAATAAATATACGTCTTGGAATTCATTGAAAAAATGTGAAAACGTAGGGTCTTCATAAGTGTCACTTAGACCTTTTCAGAAAGTCAAAAAAAATATTTATAAGTACCAAGTGCCTCATATTTTGAATTTTTAATTCTAAGTCCGATCATAAAAATCGACATATATCGTCAGGTACCAATAAATATACGACTTGGAATTCATTGAAAAAAATGTGAAAACGTAGGGTCTTCATGTGTGTCACTGAGACCTTTTCAGAAAGTCAAAAAAAATATTTATAAGTACCAAGTACCTAATATTTTGAATTTTTAATTCTAAGTCCGATCATAAAAATCGACATATATCGTCAGGTACCAATAAATATACGACTTGGAATTCATTGAAAAAATGTGAAAACGTAGGGTCTTCATAAGTGTCACTTAGACCCCCATCTGATGAGCACGGTCAGAAATAAAGCGAGACATTCCCCCCAATCCCCCCAACCTCTGACGTCAGAGTAATGGCCGCTCAGGAACACTTTGCATAGGTGAAATGGAAACTTCTTTAATAATCTCGTTTTCTGCTTGAATATGACCGGGCGGATCGCAAAAAATGTCCGATTCAAGTCGATTAGTAGGTTATGAACAACTTAGCAACGAAATATTGGCAAATAAGTGCGGCGAAACGGTCACAAATGCTCAGGAACCTGTCGGGAAGTGTGGTTCTCATTACGAAAACAAGGTGGTTTGTGAAAGAACGCCGGTCTGCGGGCGGATTTCCATAAACAAAGGACAAGGCACGTGAGTTTTTCTAAAAGGGTTATGTCCTTTGTCTAAATTGAATCTATTTGCACGAATCGCGGTCGACAGAACAGCTAAAATACGATTTGAAACATTCCGGACTTGGCTCTACAACTCGTCCTTTGCCGATACTTATGTTCTCGTTCTGTTCTGATTCCCATATTTCTTTGTCAGTCGACTCTGCTGCCCACCAAAATATAAAAGCAGAAAATGATTAAATTTCAAAGTTTAATTTATATTTTCAATTTCAGGTTTGGCTGCAGCTTAGCAAAGAGCAGCCTTGATCACCATGAATGGTGGGCGCCTCTCAAGGAAGCAAACGTGCTTTCTGTCGTCGACAAGCCCCTGCAACTTTCCTCGGCCTAATCTCACACCATCTCTCCATGCTTGTGCCAGACACTTGAGGTCACATTGAAATAGAGAGGCCCACTGGTGCTCAAAAGGAATGAAAATTTTTTAGACGAGCAGCAACGCCAGCAACGAAAAGGTGTGAGTTTTATTTAACAAGAAGTGAACCACCAATTCTCTCTCTCTCTCCGTCTCTTTTTCTGGCCAAAAAACTGAAAGTAGAAAACAGAGGGAGGAGAGAGAGAGAGAGAGAAAGGAAGTTCATCTTTACAATAATATTGATTTTAATTCTTTCAGTTTGTGGCGTACTTCAGCAAGCCAAGCGCAAAGGTCGATGGACTCGAAGCCAAGTTGGCGACGATTTTTGTAGCCTCGGCCTGATCTCACACCATCTCTCCATGCTTGTGCCTGACACTTGAGGTCACATTGAAATAGAGAGGCCCACTGGTGCTCAAAAGGAATGAAAATTTTTTAGACGAGCAGCAACGCCAGCAACGAAAAGGTGTGAGTTTTATTTGACAAGAAGTGAACCACCAATTCGCTCTCTCTCTCTCTCCGTCTCTTTTTCTGGCCAAAAAACTGAAAGTAGAAAACAGAGGGAGGAGAGAGAGAGAAAGGAAGTTCATCTTTACAATAATATTGATTTTAATTCTTTACGTTTATGGCGTACTTCAGCAAGCCAAGCGCAAAGGTCGATGGACTCGAAGCCAAGTTGGCGACGATTTTTGTAGCCTCGGCCTGATCTCACACCATCTCTCCATGCTTGTGCCTGACACTTGAGGTCACATTGAAATAGAGAGGCCCACTGGTGCTCAAAAATAATGAAAATTTTTTAGACGAGCAGCAACGCCAGCAACGAAAAGGTGTGAGTTTTATTTAACAAGAAGTGAACCACCAATTCTCTCTCTCTCCGTCTCTTTTTCTGGCCAAAAAACTGAAAGTAGAAAACAGAGGGAGGAGAGAGAGAGAGAGAGAAAGGAAGTTCATCTTTACAATAATATTGATTTTAATTCTTTCAGTTTGTGGCGTACTTCAGCAAGCCAAGCGCAAACGTCGATGGACTCGAAGCCAAGTTGGCGACGATTTTTGTAGCCTCGGCCTGATCTCACACCATCTCTCCATGCTTGTGCCAGACACTTGAGGTCACATTGAAATAGAGAGGCCCACTGGTGCTCAAAAGGAATGAAAATTTTTTAGAGGAGCAGCAACGCCAGCAACGATGAGGTGTGAGTATTATTTGACAAGAAGTGAACCACCAATTCTCTCTCTCTCTCTCTCCGTCTCTTTTTCTGGCCAAAAAACTGAAAGTAGAAAACAGAGGGAGGAGAGAGAGAGTAAGGAAGTTCATCTTTACAATAATATTGATTTTAATTCTTTCAGTTTGTGGCGTACTTCAGCAAGCCAAGCGCAAACGTTGATGGACTCGAAGCCAAGTTGGCGACAATTTTTGTAGCCTCGGCCTGATCTCACACCATCTCTCCATGCTTGTGCCAGACACTTGAGGTCACATTGAAATAGAGAGGCCCACTGGTGCTCAAAAGGAATGAAAATTTTTTAGACGAGCAGCAACGCCAGCAACGAAAAGGTGTGAGTTTTATTTAACAAGAAGTGAACCACCAATTCTCTCTCTCTCCGTCTCTTTTTCTGGCCAAAAAACTGAAAGTAGAAAACAGAGGGAGGAGAGAGAGAGAGAGAGAGAAAGGAAGTTCATCTTTACAATAATATTGATTTTAATTCTTTCAGTTTGTGGCGTACTTCAGCAAGCCAAGCGCAAACGTCGATGGACTCGAAGCCAAGTTGGCGACAATTTTTGTAGCCTCGGCCTGATCTCACACCATCTCTCCATGCTTGTGCCTGACACTTGAGGTCACATTGAAATAGAGAGGCCCACTGGTGCTCAAAAGGAATGAAAATTTTTTAGACGAGCAGCAACGCCAGCAACGAAAAGGTGTGAGTTTTATTTAACAAGAAGTGAACCACCAATTCTCTCTCTCTCCGTCTCTTTTTCTGGCCAAAAAACTGAAAGTAGAAAACAGAGGGAGGAGAGAGAGAGAGAGAGAGAGAGAAAGGAAGTTCATCTTTACAATAATATTGATTTTAATTCTTTCAGTTTGTGGCGTACTTCAGCAAGCCAAGCGCAAACGTCGATGGACTCGAAGCCAAGTTGGCGACGATTTTTGTAGCCTCGGCCTGATCTCACACCATCTCTCCATGCTTGTGCCAGACACTTGAGGTCACATTGAAATAGAGAGGCCCATTGGTGCTCAAAAGGAATGAAAATTTTTTAGACGAGCAGCAACGCCAGCAACGAAAAGGTGTGAGTTTTATTTGACAAGAAGTGAACCACAAATTCTCTCTCTCTCTCTCTCCGTCTCTTTTTCTGGCCAAAAAACTGAAAGTAGAAAACAGAGGGAGGAGAGAGAGAGAAAGGAAGTTCATCTTTACAATAATATTGATTTTAATTCTTTCAGTTTGTGGCGTACTTCAGCAAGCCAAGCGCAAAGGTCGATGGACTCGAAGCCAAGTTGGCGACGATTTTTGTAGCCTCGGCCTGATCTCACACCATCTCTCCATGCTTGTGCCTGACACTTGAGGTCACATTGAAATAGAGAGGCCCACTGGTGCTCAAAAGGAATGAAAATTTTTTAGACGAGCAGCAACGCCAGCAACGAAAAGGTGTGAGTTTTATTTAACAAGAAGTGAACCACCAATTCTCTCTCTCTCCGTCTCTTTTTCTGGCCAAAAAACTGAAAGTAGAAAACAGAGGGAGGAGAGAGAGAGAGAGAGAAAGGAAGTTCATCTTTACAATAATATTGATTTTAATTCTTTCAGTTTGTGGCGTACTTCAGCAAGCCAAGCGCAAACGTGGATGGACTCGAAGCCAAGTTGGCGACGATTTTTTAGCCTCGGCCTGATCTCACACCATCTCTCCATGCTTGTGCCAGACACTTGAGGTCACATTGAAATAGAGAGGCCCACTGGAGCTCAAAAGGAATGAAAATTTTTTAGACGAGCAGCAACGCCAGCAACGAAAAGGTGTGAGTTTTATTTGACAAGAAGTGAACCACCAATTCTCTCTCTCTCTCTCTCCGTCTCTTTTTCTGGCCAAAAAACTGAAAGTAGAAAACAGAGGGAGGAGAGAGAGAGAAAGGAAGTTCATCTTTACAATAATATTGATTTTAATTCTTTCAGTTTGTGGCGTACTTCAGCAAGCCAAGCGCAAAGGTCGATGGACTCGAAGCCAAGTTGGCGACGATTTTTGTAGCCTCGGCCTGATCTCACACCATCTCTCCATGCTTGTGCCTGACACTTGAGGTCACATTGAAATAGAGAGGCCCACTGGTGCTCAAAAGGAATGAAAATTTTTTAGACGAGCAGCAACGCCAGCAACGAAAAGGTGTGAGTTTTATTTAACAAGAAGTGAACCACCAATTCTCTCTCTCTCCGTCTCTTTTTCTGGCCAAAAAACTGAAAGTAGAAAACAGAGGGAGGAGAGAGAGAGACAAAGGAAGTTCATCTTTACAATAATATTGATTTTAATTCTTTCAGTTTGTGGCGTACTTCAGCAAGCCAAGCGCAAACGTCGATGGACTCGAAGCCAAGTTGGCGACAATTTTTGTAGCCTCGGCCTGATCTCACACCATCTCTCCATGCTTGTGCCTGACACTTGAGGTCACATTGAAATAGAGAGGCCCACTGGTGCTCAAAAGGAATGAAAATTTTTTAGACGAGCAGCAACGCCAGCAACGAAAAGGTGTGAGTTTTATTTAACAAGAAGTGAACCACCAATTCTCTCTCTCTCCGTCTCTTTTTCTGGCCAAAAAACTGAAAGTAGAAAACAGAGGGAGGAGAGAGAGAGAGAGAGAGAAAGGAAGTTCATCTTTACAATAATATTGATTTTAATTCTTTCAGTTTGTGGCGTACTTCAGCAAGCCAAGCGCAAACGTCGATGGACTCGAAGCCAAGTTGGCGACGATTTTTGTAGCCTCGGCCTGATCTCACACCATCTCTCCATGCTTGTGCCAGACACTTGAGGTCACATTGAAATAGAGAGGCCCATTGGTGCTCAAAAGGAATGAAAATTTTTTAGACGAGCAGCAACGCCAGCAACGAAAAGGTGTGAGTTTTATTTGACAAGAAGTGAACCACAAATTCTCTCTCTCTCTCTCTCCGTCTCTTTTTCTGGCCAAAAAACTGAAAGTAGAAAACAGAGGGAGGAGAGAGAGAGAAAGGAAGTTCATCTTTACAATAATATTGATTTTAATTCTTTCAGTTTGTGGCGTACTTCAGCAAGCCAAGCGCAAAGGTCGATGGACTCGAAGCCAAGTTGGCGACGATTTTTGTAGCCTCGGCCTGATCTCACACCATCTCTCCATGCTTGTGCCTGACACTTGAGGTCACATTGAAATAGAGAGGCCCACTGGTGCTCAAAAGGAATGAAAATTTTTTTAGACGAGCCGCAACGCCAGCAACGAAAAGGTGTGAGTTTTATTTAACAAGAAGTGAACCACCAATTCTCTCTCTCTCCGTCTCTTTTTCTGGCCAAAAAACTGAAAGTAGAAAACAGAGGGAGGAGAGAGAGAGAAAGGAAGTTCATCTTTACAATAATATTGATTTTAATTCTTTCAGTTTGTGGCGTACTTCAGCAAGCCAAGCGCAAACGTCGATGGACTCGAAGCCAAGTTGGCGACGATTTTTGTAGCCTCGGCCTGATCTCACACCATCTCTCCATGCTTGTGCCTGACACTTGAGGTCACATTGAAATAGAGAGGCCCACTGGTGCTCAAAAGGAATGAAAATTTTTTAGACGAGCAGCAACGCCAGCAACGAAAAGGTGTGAGTTTTATTTGACAAGAAGTGAACCACCAATTCTCTCTCTCTCTCTCTCTCTCTCTCTCTCTCCGTCTCTTTTTTTCTGGCCAAAAAACTGAAAGTAGAAAACAGAGGGAGGAGAGAGAGAGAGAAAGGAAGTTCATCTTTACAATAATATTGATTTTAATTCTTTCAGTTTGTGGCGTACTTCAGCAAGCCAAGCGCAAAGGTCGATGGACTCGAAGCCAAGTTGGCGACGATTTTTGTAGCCTCGGCCTGATCTCACACCATCTCTCCATGCTTGTGCCTGACACTTGAGGTCACATTGAAATAGAGAGGCCCACTGGTGCTCAAAAGGAATGAAAATTTTTTAGACGAGCAGCAACGCCAGCAACGAAAAGGTGTGAGTTTTATTTAACAAGAAGTGAACCACCAATTCTCTCTCTCTCCGTCTCTTTTTCTGGCCAAAAAACTGAAAGTAGAAAACAGAGGGAGGAGAGATTCAAGATTCAATTCAATTCAAGAGAGAAAGGAAGTTCATCTTTACAATAATATTGATTTTAATTCTTTCAGTTTGTGGCGTACTTCAGCAAGCTAAGCGCAAAGGTCGATGGACTTGAAGCCAAGTTGGCGACGATTTTTGTAGCCTCGGCCTGATCTCACACCATCTCTCCATGCTTGTGCCTGACACTTGAGGTCACATTGAAATAGAGAGGCCCACTGGTGCTCAAAAGGAATGAAAATTTTTTAGACGAGCAGCAACGCCAGCAACGAAAAGGTGTGAGTTTTATTTAACAAGAAGTGAACCACCAATTCTCTCTCTCTCCGTCTCTTTTTCTGGCCAAAAAACTGAAAGTAGAAAACAGAGGGAGGAGAGAGAGAGAAAGGAAGTTCATCTTTACAATAATATTGATTTTAATTCTTTCAGTTTGTGGCGTACTTCAGCAAGCCAAGCGCAAACGTCGATGGACTCGAAGCCAAGTTGGCGACGATTTTTGTAGCCTCGGCCTGATCTCACACCATCTCTCCATGCTTGTGCCAGACACTTGAGGTCACATTGAAATAGAGAGGCCCATTGGTGCTCAAAAGGAATGAAAATTTTTTAGACGAGCAGCAACGCCAGCAACGAAAAGGTGTGAGTTTTATTTGACAAGAAGTGAACCACCAATTCTCTCTCTCTCTCTCTCTCTCCGTCTCTTTTTCTGGCCAAAAAACTGAAAGTAGAAAACAGAGGGAGGAGAGAGAGAGAAAGGAAGTTCATCTTTACAATAATATTGATTTTAATTCTTTCAGTTTGTGGCGTACTTCAGCAAGCCAAGCGCAAACGTCGATGGACTCGAAGCCAAGTTGGCGACGATTTTTGTAGCCTCGGCCTGATCTCACACCATCTCTCCATGCTTGTGCCAGACACTTGAGGTCACATTGAAATAGAGAGGCCCACTGGTGCTCAAAAGGAATGAAAATTTTTTAGACGAGCAGCAACGCCAGCAACGAAAAGGTGTGAGTTTTATTTGACAAGAAGTGAACCACCAATTCTCTCTCTCTCTCTCTCTCTCTCTCTCTCCGTCTCTTTTTCTGGCCAAAAAACTGAAAGTAGAAAACAGAGGGAGGAGAGAGAGAGAAAGGAAGTTCATCTTTACAATAATATTGATTTTAATTCTTTCAGTTTGTGGCGTACTTCAGCAAGCCAAGCGCAAACGTCGATGGACTCGAAGCCAAGTGGGCGACGATTTTTGTAGCCTCGGCCTGATCTCACACCATCTCTCCATTCTTGTGCCTGACACTTGAGGTCACATTGAAATAGAGAGGCCCACTGGTGCTCAAAAGGAATGAAAATTTTTTAGACGAGCAGCAACGCCAGCAACGAAAAGGTGTGAGTTTTATTTAACAAGAAGTGAACCACCAATTCTCTCTCTCTCTCTCTCTCTCTCTCTCTCTCTCTCTCTCTCTCTCTCTCTCTCTCTCTCTCTCTCTCTCTCTCTCTCTCCGTCTCTTTTTCTGGCCAAAAAACTGAAAGTAGAAAACAGAGGGAGGAGAGAGAGAGACAAAGGAAGTTCATCTTTACAATAATATTGATTTTAATTCTTTCAGTTTGTGGCGTACTTAAGCAAGCCAAGCGCAAACGTCGATGGACTCGAAGCCAAGTTGGCGACGATTTTTGTAGCCTCGGCCTAATCTCACACCATCTCCATACCGCCTGATATATGAGGTGTCTGAATTAAAAAAAAATTTGAGATAGTTTCAAGAGTCTCAAGCCATCCTGGAAATCGGAATTGCTGAGAATTGAACATCAGCAATATAAGGTAATTTTAACAAATTAAACAAATATTATTCTACAGCCTACTGCTGCCAGATTTTCTTTGTCCTAGCAGCTCTAGTATTTTTGTTCCACTTAGCTTTTTTCATCACACTAACAACATCACTTTTATTTTTGTTTTTTGCTTGGTTGAGGCATCTTAACCGAACACAGAGTCGTAGGAAACCAAAAGTTTTTATTGCTTTGACTGGGGCTTCAATGTTCTTCCTAACAGCTTTCTCAACAAATCTTGCCATGATTCCTTTTTCCTTATCCACTGCTTTCCCGTTCATCTTTTGAAAAATTTTGTCCATTTTGATCGCCGCCTTTTCGAATTTGTCTGAGGGTGAAAAGCGCCCCTTTTTAGAATAAGGATGGACCCAAGCTGGAATATTTCCAGGTATGCTGTCAGATCTGAGTTCTGGGAACTCTTCTCTCAGGCGAAATGACACAACTCCAGCCAAGCCAATGACGCCATCTCGATATGCACCTTTTTCTATGTCTCCAATGTCTTCAGGTGCCTCACCAATCTCTTTTTCAGATTCGCTTTCACTTGATGAATCCGATGATGAATCTTCAGAAGCAGTGTCCTCCTCCTCCTGCTCGGAGTCGTCTTCATCTGCAGGCAGTTCACCATCTTCAGTCAAGTCTTCTACGTCTGAGATTTCCATATTTTCGGTGAATGGTGCCTCCTCCAAATCAAGTGCCTCCTCCGCATCCTCCGGGTCAATTTCTTCATCCAGTAAATTTGAGAGGGCCTGAAAATATGTAATAGTTTTAATAGTGTGAAGTTTAAAATATCCTGCGAATCTGTATTTTTTGTTGTTTTAAATCTAAAAATAATTAGAGTTTTAGGCCTATTTCTTAGTTTAGTCTTTTTTTTCAACGTACTTGGCCTGTGAGAGAAGTGACTTGATTGTCCAGAGCTTTGACATTGCTTTTATCCCCAACACAGAGACTTGGAGACTTGATGATGCTATTGTTGGAGATTCTATAAATGAAGTCCACTGGATTTGGACAGATGTTAGTTCCTCCTGCAGCTCTAATCACTGAAAACAGGATTTCGAGACCATCCTGACAGATCCGATAGGTATGAATGGCAATTTCTTCTCCGGGAAAGCGCCTCTTCAAGTCTTCAAAGAGACCTTTCAATGCTGCCACGTTCTGGATCATTCCTTTATGGAAAAAGAGCATTCCTGTGGGATTTCCTGGAGCTTCTTTGCTGCGCGGCCTCATTGATTCTAGAAACTGAATTCACAGTAATTTAAGAAACTAAAGATTCATTAATCTGGAAAATAAATTTTTACCTCTAAGATCTCGTCCAAAGCAGCCTTTTGCTCATCATAACAGACCCCAAAAGGAAGTTTAGTGACTGGAATGGATTCTTCTTTGCCCCTAAACTCTTCTTTCAGCCTGAGATCCTCGTGCACATTGAAAATGTCAAACCAGTCATTAAAAACCTTGCAGAATTTACTTGTGGCCTGAAATAATTTATAATTATTTTCAGAAAAACTACAATTTACACATAAACCAGGTACAAATTACCTCACAGTGAGGAGATTTCAGCTTGCCCGCCGCTTTTGCCTCCAACAAGCATTTGGCCACAGAGGCTGAAAGTGTTTGCGCAGCTAAATCAACTTTTTGGCGATCCATCTCTCGTGCCTCTAGATGTTTCCAAGTTAATTTATGTTGGGAGAATTCAGCTGAATCTTGGAGGCTGAGGAGTTCCTTGAGTGGAGCTTTGCAAGCTACCATTTGCTTGCTTTTGGGATCATCCGGATTTAAGATGAAGCCTCGGTCGAACAAGTGGTTTCTGCCATTCTTCACATCATGGGGACCATCTGTGAGCGCAAAAATACTCTCTCCCGTAATAATATGCTCAAAACGCGGATTCTCCATTGTCACTTTCAGCTCTGTGAAAAGTCCTCTGTTGGTAGGGCCCAGATCCGTGTCAAGAGTTATAACTTCCAATTCGCCGTGAGCGTAAAGCGCTGCCACTACCTCATCGATCAAATTTTTGGTCAGTTTTGTATCAAAATTATAGTAAACTTCATTCTTGAAGTTTCCAAAAAGAGCTCGAGCTTGCATTACTTGAGCTTGATAGTGACGTCCAAGAACTCGATCTTCTTTGGCGTAGTAAGTAAAATTTGAATTAATCTTGACCTCGTCTGCTGTTAAGCAAACTAGTTTCTTGAACTTTGGAAGGCCTTCGCACTCTACCTGCATGAGCCGAAGATTGTTCAACATCAGTCCTGGGCCTGAATGAAGTTTAGAGGCAAATGACTTAACTGATGAGATGCTCGGAAGTGGGTAGTTGTACAGGATTCTCATTTTCCTATAGGCTCTTGAGCTTAATGTCACCAGAATAAGTGCATTGATGTAATCTGCTTCATTCCACCTGCTATTCTTTTTCAACAAGATGCGGTCCAACTGAGGTTTTGTGAAATGATAGCTGAGCGCATTTCTGATGATCTCGTCTCTTGCTTTTTCACTTACAGCCCCTCCGTGTTTTTCCATCTGCTCATAAAGTGTTTGTCTATCTGATTTTAGTTTTGCCAGTTGCCTTTCATAGACATGGACCTTCTTCTCCAATTTGCTGTTGTGTTTCTGCAGCTTTTCTTTGTCTCTCATGAGCTCCAAGTTTCTTTGTGTAATAAACGCCACCTTTTGATCCCATGTTTGATAGGATAGATCTGTAATGAAATGAAGCTTAAAGAAATTTGATAATTTTGTTAAAATAAGCACTTACGGATCAAAAGGATTTGCATTAACTGGCAATGGTGCAAGTCTACAGTTAGGGTCTTTGCTGCAACTTGTATCTAACTTTTCTTTAATGCTATAAAAAATGTATTTCTATATATACTCATTTAATAAAATTTTTTTTTTTTTTTTCTTCTTATGCCGAAGGTTTGAGTTTTAAGTCATTCTTCTTCCTAGCTATCCAGTAGACATGGGCTTCTTTTTCTATCCTGCTCCAATGGTCAGGTAATGCGTCGACATCTAACTTAAGTTCGGGGCACCTAAATAGGTGCTCTTTGTCTTTGATGACGGCCTTTGTGTTCTTGAAGTCAGAGCCCCTAGGTGGAGGAGGGACTTTGTTGGCTCCAAGTTTGGCGAGGTAGTCAGCCTTCTCGTTTCCTAAAATTTTGCAGTGGCTAGGAATCCACTGTAGAGTGACTAGAAAATTTTTGTTAGAAAGAGTTTCAATGGCTTTTTTGTAACGAAGAGAGATGTTGCTAGTATTTGAGATGTTTGATAGGAAATGTATGGCGGATTGGCTGTCGCTGAGGATGACGATGTTCTTCTTCATGCCTTTCAGTTCTACGGACGCCACTTTTTCAACAGCCAAGACGATGGCCATTGCCTCAGCTTCAAAGTGGGTGGCGTTTGGGTCCAGCGGGTGATGCTCTTCGAAGAGGAGGCTGTAGATGCCGCAGCCAACAGACTTCTTTGTATTATTTCTCGACCCGTCTGTAAAGATGTGAGTCCAGATGGACCAAGGAAAGTGATTTTGAATGTGTGTGAGGGCGAGTCTCTTTTTTTTTGTCCACGTCATCCTCCTTGTTGGAAAGTCCGTCGATATGTAGGCGGGGAGGTTGGACAGCAGAAAGGTTAACTTCCAGAAGCCTTGTAGCCCAGCCCGTGTCGAAATCAATCCGACTGATGTAGTTGAGCTCCGGGCAATAGACTTCCTTTAAGGTCATGACTTGCTGAATGAAAGAGGTATGCGCCTTAGTGGTTGTTGCAGGACATGTGTTCCAGTACCCTTGATGTAATCGAATCATCTTTTCGTGTAGGATGATGGCGCGCAAATCCCGTCTCTGTTGAAGAGGTTCGACCTTGCACCAGGCCTCCATGGCATCAATGGGCGTCGTTTTTATGGCGCCGGAACAAAGGCGGAGTGCCTGATTTTGAATTTTGCTGACAAGGGAAAAGTCCTTGTCAGAGGCCGTAATGAAGATTTCTGTGCCATATTCCAGCACAGGACGGATGTAGGTTTTGTAGGTAATTTAATAAAATGAACAGTGTCTTTTACCCATTCAAAATTTTGAGGGATTGAACTAACTCTCGATAATTTGAATTTTCAGGTGTTGCAAATGGAGCCATCGTATTTTGAGGAGTGGCTGATTGATCCTCTTCGACGTTGCCGGAATCAAAGTCTGACACTGCGGAGCTTGTGTGCGGCAACCTTTAAGTAAGGAAAATAAAATTATATGATTACACATTTATTGTATATATGCATGTTATTCTTCACATTTCAGGCTCTGCAGACTGAACATCGGACTCTATTGCAAAGGAAGGCATGGTCACTTGCACCTCAGTGCAGACCATTTTTGGATCGCGACTATCGCAAGCTGCCCCTGTCCTGAAATATTATAAAAAAAAATTATCCTAATAATAACCTGAATAACAATATTACCTTTCATCTTCAAGTTTCCTTTTGAACATTTTTTCGGACCTTTTCAATTGAGTTTGCGTAGGAGGAGTGACTTTTGGCAAATTCCGAGTTGGAACTGCATCTGGTTTGAGCATTCGGGTCCCTGGTGGTACATGATACTTGTACTTTGCCAAAGTGGACACATCATACTGTGTTCTATCGAAATGACGGGAGCAGAACACTGTGTGCTTGCTGTATGATGAAATTTCACGACCACCAAGAACAAACCACCGTCTTTTAATGTCCTCATCTTTTGGCAAATTAAAAAATCTCAGCAGGGTTCCATCGAGGGGTACGTCAGTGTCTCTGAATAAGGCTTCCAAGAATTCTGCGCTTTCATCCTTGTAGGTTTTTACCAAAGTCTCCACTTTTTCTTCAGCATCAGCATCGTTTCGAATCGAAGCAGAAGAACAAATTTCAAGCTTTTGCATGTCCCTTTTTCTTTGGGTAGAACTCTCTTTGCACAAATAAGCCCCACATTGTGGCATTTTCTTTTAATTTGTTATATATCTACCATAAACTAAAAAACGTGACTGGGAACTGCAATTCTAAAACGGCACCGGCACATAAAGGAAATCTGCTGCGCTCGAGCGCCATGACGCGCCAGCACGGCGCCGGAATATGCATTGATTTATAAAAATCGCAATCCAACCAATTTTTTCAGAATTGAACAGCTCATGCAGTGATGAACTCTTTTGTCAGGCTGGCTTTCAAGTAGAGGCGAGTCAGGATAATGAAACTTGTAACTGTTCAATTTATTTCTGTTTTTTTTTTTTTTTTTTTTTATAAGAAGACTTATTAGATTTTGAAGCTTTTATAGGTGAGGGAAAAATATTATTTCTTTCTGCATATATAAAAATACATATAAATCATGTAAATTTTATTACCATCAAACGCATCAAACAAAAATCATCGTTGTATATACTTGAATGTATAAAATTCTTGGTGCAAAACCGAAACCTATTTCAGAAATATAGTGATACTGTAGATACAAGGAGAGTGACTAGACATAATCAGACTAATCTTTGCTGTAATGATTTGGTTGTGAAAGAAGTAAAGCTTAAGAAATCTGTAGAAAACCCAGAAATCATGATCCCCAGAATATTTAATGCATTACCGATATCTTTAAAAGTCCTCGAAAATGACGAGGTTCTTGTAAAAATGGTGAAAGCTTTTGTGTTAGAGCACAAATTCTATGACTTGAACGAATTTTATCGTTTAAATAATGCCATGTACACTGACTTATTTTAAAAAGCTGTTATTTACTATGTATGTTATGTGGTATATAATGCTTAACAAAATAAAGAAATCTTGAATCTTGAATCATAGTATAATACACATCGAATAGGAAAAATAGCATCAGAAAAATGCTTGCAGAAGTCGATAAAGTGACCTCAAATGTCAATTGTCTTGCTGAAGTCGCCCAACTTGGCTTCGAGTCCATCGACCTTTGCGCTTGGCTTGCTGAAGTACGCCACAAACTGAAAGAATTAAAATCAATATTATTGTAAAGATGAACTTCCTTT